GGGGGGATGACGTCACTGAAACGAGGGGTATGACGTCATAAGGCAGTAGTCACAGAATTCGCGGCGTATTACGTCATGTGGGGTCAGTGACCGCCGAGTACGGGGTCTGCAGAGACGCATGCAGTGGCAGACTGCACCCAACGGACCCCGCGTGACGTCACCCCCTCTCCGTGATGTACCTTTCACCCAGTGACATCATCTCCCTATATATCCCCCTATATACTCTACTTTTATATTTCGCTCTGTTTGGTTTATATAGTGATAAAAACCTTAAATCAAAATTTTGTTAAAGCAGAAGTTTATTTGACAGTAATCTTTTGAAGACGCGTGCGCGGAAGTTTTCTAAGAAAGTAACTTCATGGAACATCTTGCTTTTTCAATTAAGGTTTTTGAAATCGCTAAATTTGATTCTGGTCGCAGATTTTTTTAAATCTAAATTTTTAATAAATGATCTAATTAACATGAAATTCTGTTTTAGGAAGTCTCTTAGTATCTCTGAATAAATAGTCTGAAAATATCGAATTTTAAAAATATAATAGTTTCATAAAAGAGAACCTAGTCATCCCAACAAACATCAAGTTACGTATAAAGCTCATTCTACAATTGCGTTAGCGTAGTTGTAAATGGTGTAGTTGCAAGAATCAACCAATCACAGTTAAATGCGAAGAAAATATTCGACTATGATTAGTCAATTTTTGCAACTACGTTTACGCGATTGTAGAATGGGCTTAACGTATCTATTAGTTGTAATTTCTCACTCAACAATATAACTGTATTACGCGTGTTATATTATAATGTATGTTACATCATGTCGTAATTTGGTATATTTGATGGGACACGGTTTATAATTAGAGTTTGAAGTTAATCCGAAAATCACTAATTAATTGTTTACATAGTACTGATAATATAAAGCTTTAAATAAGAATACAATTAAAAATTCCCACTACCGAATTTTATAATTAAATTATTTTTTTAAATTTATTTGTATAGAATTGTTTGTTAAAAAAATGTTTATTTTATGATGAAAAATATACATATCTGTATCTGAAATACTGTTTCAAGTATACTTTAGAAAGTATTAGAAATAGAAAGATATGAGAAAAAATTTTGCAATTTTAAAAACATGATAATAGTAATTTTTTTGTACTTTTTTACAAAAAATTATTGCACAATGCTTTTGAAAACGTTCAGATTATAAGTCTATTCTTTTTAGCTGAACTTCTTGTAAGGTTCATCTTTTCTCTTTTTCTCTTCAATGTAGAAAGAAAAGGAAGAAAGATGAACCGTATAAGAACTTTAGCTAAAAAGAACGAACCTTATATCACATATCATATATTTTGTGCTATAAACTCACGTATCATTCTTTTTTGCAGATTGCGACATAAACAGAATATTCTTCGTCAAATATATCCGCGATCCAGAGCGGACTTTGACATGCTTTATGGTCTGGTCGAAGAATGGAGAATTGATCGTTTAAAGGACATAAAATCGCGGTTGTTCAAGGCAGGCCAGCGTGCTGAGAATTATAGGATTTTAGAGAAAATGGTCGAGATGCTTAATCAAATCGATAAACATAAACAAGCGATCAAGAAATCGTACCGGAAACAAAGAGTTCTCAGATTTTTAACAGTGAATTGCAAGCCTATACGATGGAGTGGTTACAAGGGCAAACTCGTAGAGATGGTTACTATAAAAACTCAAAATGCTCGAAAATTAAAAAACATTTATGATGCAATAAACAATCGCGACATTAGTTCAAAAGAACGAATAAAATTGTTGATAGCACTGAAAAAGTCGGTTGAACCGCATAATTGTATTGAGGCATTGGATTTATTATCTTTGTTGGATCAAGAAATTACATTGTTAAATCGAAAGATCGAGGGTTTAACACTCGATTATCTGAATGAAAGAATAACACGTAAGATTTGTTAATATTATGTGATATTTATTATTATTAATTAATAATAAATGATAGCGACAATTGAGAAAAGATAATTGATGCTGTTAATAAATTATTTTTAATAACAATCGATAAATTTGTTAGTTATTAACAGTTAATTAATATTAAATGTTGATGTTAATAATAATTTATATATTGTTAATAACTTTATTACGATTATTATATAAATAGTGTCAATGGGATAACAGTAATATATTTTTAAATTTTATCAACGTTAAATATAACTTAAAAGATGTAAGAAGGAATAGCAATTACTTATATCACTATAAATTTTATTTTGCAAAAAGTTTAATTGGAGAGAGGAAAAATAGAGTTTAAGTTATGTACAGTTTCCTAGAATTTTTTATTTTATTTTGCACTGCATTGTATACTTATTATTATTTTATCGCATTTACAATTATACTTACTTTTAGTAATAATATAAATACGTATATTCTTTTACAGATACTTATTTGAATTTTGTAAGAATATTCGGTATTTGTGGTTGTGAATGTGTTACTACTGAATCTAAAGATAACGAATTGCGAGAGCCTTTAGAAACAGAAACCAAACTTTGTCGAAGTTGTTTAAAGCTTCTTCCCATCCGTAAATTTTTAGCACATACTAGAATGAAGAAGTTAACAATTTGCAGCAGTGAGTGATGAGTATAATATTATACACAACAAATAAAATATTTTATTCAACATATGTATACACTATACAGTATACATATATATTGATGATTTATTTTTCGATTATAATGTCTTGTATACAAATACGAGAAACTACAAAAATTAATTAGTTAAATATGTTTTTAAAGGCTGCAGTTCCCTAAGTAGACGTAATATTGCGTATGTGAATTATGATCCTTACATGTTTATATTAAATTGTGTACGTGCTGAGGAAGAACATCGAGGCAGTACTTCCGCTTTGGCATTTATAATGCAAGAGCAGGATATTTATCACTTAGTTAACCACATTTGGCAAGGTCAATCGGCAATCAGTAAGACTAGAGATCTTTTTATTCTAAGAATGGTAAGATATCAAAAAGATGTTGAATGGGCGCCTTGGAATTGTATTCTATTGACAAAGGACGAAGCCGACTTACATTATAACATTAGTGATCTCGCTACGATATATTCGGAGCATTTGATAAGCCAAATTAATTTGAAACATCAGATTGCACAAAATTTTTTTAAGTACGTATAATTATATAACGTCTTCATCTTAACATTAATATGTTTGTATCGAAGCAATATGTAAACATTCTTTAATATTTTCAGACGACTAATTATTTTTGAAAAAAAATTCCGTGAATCTTGTCGCTTCTCAAAGATTCAAAGTAAAGAGGTAAAATATAAATCATCCATAACTGTGGAGAATTACGATCCATCTAAAAAATACAAACTAGGATAAAAAATACTGTGTGAGAAGAAATTATATCATATCAATTGATGAATATACATATATATAAACATCAATTAAATCTCTTCATAACGTATTTTTTAATCAATACAACTTTAATGTATTGAAAACGTAGTGAAATGTATCGTTGCTATATTATGAATTATATATCGATACTGCAATTGGCCATGCAAAAACTTAATAAACTTTTATTATGTAAAACTTTTATTTTGTCATCGGTTTTCACTTTTGTTCATCCAAATATTATCTAAATAAAATCTACGGTTTATTTACACATAAATTCATAAAGAGAGAACAACCAAAATAAAGTAAATAAAGCAAAAGTCGTTAACTACATATTTAATATGTTTTCACAGTATATTGTCGTCAATTTAGAAATTTTGATTGAAGTTATTTAATACTTTAAAATATTTGATAAAATTTTTTTGTCAATTTGATATTGTTTAAATATTATAAACTTCATATTTAGTAATAGTATAATACATAACCATTATTAGAAATATTTTTTAATTTCATCATATATGATTTTGATCATATATTAAGAAAAAATATTTCAGTAAGAAAAGGTATAAAATTGTAAAATGATTTTATGTTTAAAAAACAAAGTTATAAAAAGGACACTATTTTAAGCATTATTAGAATTTATTTGTACCAAAAAAGTAGCTGTTTTAATTATATTAAGGTTTAATTTTAATTCATGCTTATTGCGTTTTATAACTGACACTATGCTACTATATTTATTATATTATATTTATTTACACACACACATGTATTATAATAATTATTTGAAAAAATGAAACACCGATGAAACTAATAAGTTTTTCACGTTATGAATTGCTCCGATAATATGAATTAATGTTTATATTTTATATTTATGTCCGTCTATCGTATAGATATGTATTTACGATTTAAAAATGTATGAATTTTTCTGAACTGCCGATACGTATTGTTCAAGTCTCCGGAGGAATAGCAGAAAAGGTTTTACGGCTATCATATATGCAATGTTGCTCCGCGAGAAATCGGACGATATTGTTTGGATGAAACCGGCGATAGTGAAAGCTTTTACGTAAGGAACGTACATTGACAGAGATAGTGGCGGTTTTAGCACTATAAAAGCCGTTGCGTAACGGTATATAAATTGTTCGCTGTTCCAGAGCTGGCACCATTCGCTATCGTATCACTTTATCGCCGTAACACAATCTGGCTTATACTTGCATTGCAAATATCGGCCGCACTACCCTTAATTGGTCCCGCGGGCGAATAATTCGAATCGATTTATGTTCGATGCAATTTGTTAGAATGGAAATTAAAAAAAGAAGAGAATACTACAAAATAGTTACAGGAATTCTGAAATAAGCTTGCTAATCCAGATATACTTGAGAGTTTAGTCGAACTTAATATTAAGAAAGAGCGCCCTGGAACGCATGTATCGCGAAAACGTATCAGATTTGATACACTTGAGGTTTTTAAAGTGCATGTTTGCTTCGAATGCGTTATACATGCATCTCGCAGAGAACGCTGAAAGCGGAGATGTATGAATGCCGTCGAAAATTCTCTGCCCCGGGGCGCATAATACCTGCCGCACACTAGTCTGAATTCATATCCGTCGCGGAGGCTTTTGAATCGGGGAACACACAAAATCGAAAAATAATGGACAAGAGAAGGCTTTTGACCGATCGACCAAGCACGTTGCCACTAGCAACGTTGGATTTAAGGCTTGGAGCTTTCAAGTGCCGCGCTGCGGAGTCTCGCACATGGAAGTATAGTACATACGTAGGTCGCATTAAAAGCTACTCTTCGACGCGATCTACTTATCCCAGTGGATCGCGAATGTCAAAATTTGATCGACGATGTGCACTACTTTGCGCACCAACTCAGTTTAATCCGACTAAGTCGTTCAATCTTTCGCGAAATGCAATCGCTTTGCGATAAAAGCATTTTTCCGGCTTATAACGGGCGATAATGCAATTTTAATAAATCACACATAGAAACCGTATTAAAATTATAAAGCTATTACACGAAAAGTATTTTAAGATTTTGCTTAAATTATCAAGTGCTTGTGATATCGTGCGACAACAGAGAGTGCTTTCGCGTTGCCTTATTTGGTGAGTTTATCAATAAATTTCTTCCTTAAATTCTGAAGGTATTTATTTTGAGAGTTTGTTATAAATTCAACAGTGAAGGAAATTGGCACATAATTCCTCTGTAATAATGAGCGCTGCATCAATATTTATACACAAGTAATTACACCGTGTTGCAATTAAATTCGACGATTGTCCATAATATTTGAATTCTCAATCATGCATTGACGCTCTCATATTTCTCGAGCGCCCAATTAAGGACGTGCTCTTGTAAAAACGTGAAACAAGCACTTTTTTTCTTTGCATTTGCTATGTTTGCGTTAATTACTTCTCTTGCCGTCTATACTATTCGCCGCATGTTTTCATCGAAACTCGTCTCTTGCTGCGAAATCATTTACGAGAGGTGCAATCGATCGACTCGTTTGTTTATTCTCTTCTTTCATCATTCTGTTAACAAAGTTATCCTAGTTACATTGATATATTATTATGTGTTGTGTGCAAAACCTGATGTTCAATCGTTATTTAGCTCGTTTTTTTTTGTTTTTTCTCTGCGTAAAAAGTTCTGGCGTAAAAGGAAATGGCTGGTCAGATTATATTAAAGAAGCATTGACCTTCGTAAAACGAAACCATTTTCCGTTCCATCGATTACCAATGTGGGTACACTAGAAAGCGCGGTACTTCATAAAATTCAGCTTTCCATCAAAAATCCTTCGTACCTCACTAGACCTTTTCTTTTGTTCCCCTTGAAACGCTGTATATTCAGACATTTTATAGAGAGTACTTTACAAATGGAAATTCTACAGTAGTATCACGTTTATATGCCTGTACCATGTTTTTATAGCATCTCTCGTCCTGTTACATCTATCATCTATCATCTATTATCAATGTTATAAGTTAAATTAAATATTTATGATACTGATAAAATGTGTGTTACACTCTTGATTTTTTAATGGATATTACAAGTGAAGCCAAAATGTATCAAAGTAAATTAGAGCAATTTGTAGGCTTTTACGTTTTGATTGAAAAAAAAGTCGAATAATAGTCCATTAGTGGTCTACTATGCAACTAGCTGGTCATTAAATCTGCAATCTATATTTTGTTTTTAGAAAAAAATTGTCACTTTCCATAGTAAAAAAAAAGGCTATATAAAAAGCCAAATTACAAAAATTTTGAATATTTTAACAGAGGTAGACGATTCTTCAGTTTATATTATTTGCTCGATAATGGTTCAACTCCTTCGTTCATCGCGATCATTAATCTCTCGTTTTATCCATATTTGTCGCGGAGTTTACCAGCGAATTACGTTCGCTGCGAGGAAGCGCATAACTTTCGCCGACGAGGTTGAGAGGAAGGTGTCGCACGACGACAAACTTTGCGTCCGTTTATATCTAACTTAAAATTCTCCCTCCGATATCCTTTGCTTTACATAAATATGTATAACGCGCCCATCTCCGCTGACTCCGCTCCGTAGATGACGATCTCGCGAAAAGTTTTGCCATGCTAGCACCGTGCCGTCTCTAAGCAACACTAGGAAGGACTCGCGACCTTCTGTTCCCGGCATCTTGTGCGTAATTTATAATATACAGAAAAGTGCGTCTCGTGTCACGACACATGGTCGAGAAAGTGTACCCAGATATAATTCCCGCTACGCGGCTTGTCGGGATTTTGCGAGTGCCAACTACCCTTTCTCAATTCTCTTTCATTCCCCTCGCCTGAAATAAACATCTTTCACAATTATTGCCTGCAAATTGTCGTCACAAGTGCTATTTGCCGAGAGCATTGTTCGACGAAAGTCACTCTTCCTGGCTTGAGCACCTTTTCTCTCTTCGACTTTCGTCGAGGCTTCTAAAAGTGTTTTCTTGTTTTGTCACGGTGGAAAAAGGAAAGCATTTAAATAAGATGCTTACGTTCGTGCCCTCTAAAATCTTCACGTTACTTCGTGTTATTTTTCATGCTACTCAAAGAATAAGATGATATACAGGAAAAAGTGATATTATGTCCTTTCCCCTTTATTTACATTTTATTCAATAACTTTGTTAATGATATTTAAATTTAAAATTCAACGATTACATTTGCTGACATTGTTTAATCGATTCTAAATTATCTCAACATTATAAAGTATTTATTATTTAGAACATTGGTGATACTGCGTAACAATCGAGTCTAAGACAAACAGAGGTGGTAGTGTGGCCTCTCATAAAAACAGATTTAAAAAATTTATTTTATTTAAAAAAACACGATATTAATATAATATTACAAAATTTTATGTTTGCAAAAAGTAAGATATTGCAGAATGTAAGTAAATAATGTTCGTATATATAATTTCTTTGTCATATAAGATCCAATATTAAAAATCTGTGGATAACACGTGTGATATAAACTATCCAAGTGGGAATTGAATACCGGCGAGATACTGGTCGAGTACCAACTTTTAGTATTCAGTACCGGCGTGATATCGGATGCCAGTATTGGTATTGCACTGATGTAATACAGGGATGATAGCAACGGGCCAAGACTCGAAATACAGTATACATACGGTACGGGATTACGGTGTCGTAATGTTTCTAAACGTCCGTACCATTATAGTACGGTATTACAATACGGGATTACAGTACTACAATAATACCGAAAATCAGTATACATATTGTACCTAATGCAGTAACAATATTATACCAAAATGGTTACCGAATCATAATGCTGCAG